AAAATGTCTTCCATTTTATTTCTTGAAATTCCTTAATTTTTATGCTTCTTAATCATCATTCGAAAAGTTTCCTTTACATTTCTTTTTGTAGCTCTCGTTTTTTCATGCTGTGGAGAATTTCATTCACAATTATATACAAAATTGAAGGAGTTGGTTCGCGACTGTTGAGAGTTGCGTTCACCGTCTGTGAATCGCGAGCACGCCATCTTCATGATGCGTGACCATTGGCACCACTGCATCATCACGATGAACTCCAGGAAGTCTCTTAGGTTTAATTCGCGACAAACCACCCGAGACACTCGACTTCGGTCTGCAATTAAACACGATGATGGTGTATACACTAGAGTGATTTTAACGCCAGAGTCGTGCATATAACATTTAAAATTTATATCTTACTTGTATTGCGCGCGCGTACATTTTGAAAGAGCGAGCGCGACTCTTGTAGGTGAGAGTGGATATCATCCATCTTATTAACGACAATGTGTTCAAGTAATTTACAGAGTCTACTTCACTATTACCTACAGCTGTTGCAAACGGACTATTATATTTTACAAAAAGGAAAATAATATAAGAGCAGGTGACAACTGACCATCAGAAGTCTTATGGAGAAAACGTGTTTCTTTTTCCCATTAACAACTCTCGCTAAGTGCATTACTGATAAAATATATATGGGCGATTCTCCATCCGATAATTCGAAAAATAGAGCAAAAAAATAAAAAATCGACAACTTTCTGCGCAGATAGCAATTCAAGTTTACCTTGGATCTTTAGTTTCGGTTTTTGTTTTGGTGACAAATTTTTCTTTTTATAGTATATTTAAGCTTTTCATTTGGTATTTTTTTTTAATTTCAATATTTTTTTTTTAGTTTCAATTTCAGCCTATAAAGTTTAAAATCTTTTTCAATAGTTTTTCCTTTCGCTTATAAGATAGAAAATTTTGTTTTGCGGACAAAACTTTTGCTCGCAGAAATCATGAAAATTGTGTCAAATTACCCGTAAATGGTCTGATGGTAAATATGTTTACACCCATGGTAGAAATCGTTGAGATTATCCATTGTGAAACGTTTCGTTGAGGACAAATGACACCTGTATTATTTATTGTGGTAGGTGTTTTTACAAGAATTGTTGGGGATTTTGAGTTGAGAGGTTCCTTTTTTTTTACGATGGATTCTAAGCATATCGGGTCTTTTGGTGTATATAAGAGGATTCGGCGTATCACAGCAGGGGACCTCTCGTAGGGTTTGCAAGGTCATGTCGCGTCGTATGTCCACGGAGAAATCGCGGGTGTCACCACATAAACCATTCCTACAAAAGTATCAGGTTACTTGAGATGTTAAACCTCTCGTGTCGTATATACACACCTCTGATATAAATATACATACTTAGTAGGAAAGGTACATGTCCCTCTATAAAGAGACCATCAGAGGTCCTCTTATATATCATATGAATATCTTCATTCGAATACTTTTTGTTTTAAAAATCATTAAATTTGTACTTGTCATGATGCAAGTTGTAAGTCATTTGACGATGTAATTTTTTTTTGTATTAAACATTTCCTCTTATTAATTTATTACTTGTTTTTAGTTACGATTATAAAAGAAATTGATATAATCAAAAATGCACTTTTGAAAATATTAACGAATGTCAGAAAAGAAGCTCTCTCTCTCTCTCTCGAGAGAGAGAGAGAGAGAGAGAGAGAGAGAGAGAGAGAGAGAGAATTCTACCTGTAATATATATTTTAGAGAGAAAGGTACAGAAGTGAAAATAAAGTCATCTGTCATTAGATAAATGCTACTACTAATGTCACTCCTGTTGAAAATTCCTGGACCCGGGGAGTCATTCCGACTGTCTCTCTCCTGCTGTGAGGAGATAAAGATGTTTCTCGCCAGACAATACTCAGAGTGTAAGATACTCGGCGCGGATCAGTTGGTTTACAAGATTTCTAAACAATGCCTGATCATTTTCCTCTTTAAGCTACTATAATCCCGAACAAAAGATCGATGATTCGCCAAGCTCTTGTAGAATTTAGAAAATTCCTCATAAAAAAAAAATAAATTCCAATTTTACGCATTCTCGTTTAAAAAAAAAAAATTCTTATTCCAGTCTAAGGGGAAAAAAATTTCTTTTTTAAAACCACTTCAGAAAAAAAAACTGTTGTAAAATTTGAGAATAACATATATGTAGAGGATAATGCATGCCAAGAGGGAATTGGATAACCGAACCAACAGGTTGAAGTGCATATTTATTTATTTATTCTGAAAATAGAATTGAAAAGGAAGTGTCGAGAGATTTTAGAGGTAATCTAAAGGGGGGATTAGAATATTGCGGGAACCATTGACGGGGTCTCTCTTGACTCGAAACACATTGTCATATTGGCTGATCCTATTTGAGTGTGTGAACTAACACTCAGCGGGGAGGACCACATATTTTTCGCCTAATCGGATCTATCGAACTGTATGTTGTGCAATCGACTGGTCCTGGCCAAGGGGCATATAATATAATAAACCAAGGGTGAAAACTATAAGAATCTGCTAAACGAGAATCGCGGCTGTTTCTTCCTCTATCTTTCACCACCTTCTATTACTTTCTCTCTCTCTTTTTTTTCTCGTTCTTTCTCTCTTTTCCTTTTTTTTCATTTCTTTTTCTCTCATCAATGAGTTCGCAACCGGGAGTAACCTCATTCACGATTCACGTTAGACAACCCGCAGAGTTTTACAAGATGCGCCATATGCGTTACATTATTATACAATGTGCATTATAAGCCGTGCGAGAAAAGCCCATATAGTAGCACGCAGCCTAAACACTACCTCCACAAAGAGTCGGAAATCTTTTATATATGTATATGTATATAACCGTGGACCACTTGCCGAGCGTTCGCACACTCATTCGGAGCACGTGGTTTATTCTTTCTTTATACAGACTTGGTTTTTTTTCCTCTCCTTCAAAATGCGGTAAACCAAGTAGCGACAAGTTTTTGAAATTTGTCACAAATCATATTTTTAAAAATATTATTTATATTAAGCGATAAATTATTCTTATCGAGCCTCTCTCTCTCTCTATGTTTGCATATACCTATTTCTCAATTTGTAAGCGAGAACAAGTTAGGTCTTTCCTTGCTCCTTTGTGGGATAAATTATTGCTGAGAGTGCAATGGAACAAGTTATGTTTCGTGTTCTTTAATGCTACTGTCGAAGTACATTTGAATTTTGCGTTTATATATATGTATATACATTTCAAAGACTGAGAAGCGTGAGACTCGTTTTATATATATATATCTATCGAACTGGATATACACCAATCGCAAATTCACATCGATATTCCAGTATCAGCGCGAGGCGAAAGAGATGTACTTTTGTCGCTCGATACAGAACACTGAATGCATTTTACGATGCCGTGCTCTCGTCGCATTAGTCAGCAAAACATACTGCAACCAAACCGGGACACCCGGTGTGGTGCCACTCTCGCATACTTTCCTGTATCTACGCCAAGTCGTTTTCTGTCACGGTTCGAGACTTGCCTTCATCTTACTACTCTACTTCTATAAATATATATTATTTCTTGGCCAACTCGAAACAAGATACTGTTGTCTTTGTCAGGAAAATTGTTTTCTCTTTTTAATCTTAAAAAATGGTCACATCGCCTTTTTTTTGCACTAACACTATCAAAAATTGGCTACTGTCGCATTACTGGTACCAGTACTGAAGTGAACTCTGGAAATTTTTGATTGCGCATTATATGATAACGAAAGGTTTGATTAATAGAATGATAAGATGAATGAAAACAGATTTCAACGAGTCATCTCGATAAAGGAGTCTATGTATATGGTATCTATATATATATATATATACGTGAGAGCAATTATTACGTGGTGGCACGTATTTTCTTGAGAGAAAAATGCCAAGGGCGCTAAGGTAACGGAATGCCAACAAGAAGATGAGGGTAATATAATGCTATGATCTAGATTAATGCAAGAAGCCGACAACAGTCACGTATATCGTCCCACGCGCAACGCTGTATCCCCTGCCTTTAACATTATATTCATCAAATAAAATATATTCATATATAAAAAAGGCGTCTATTGACAAAGGTAACAAAAAAAAAAAAATTGCTAAGATTTACCTCACATGTATAATCGAACTAGACACTTCTGATTTACACATATTCTTATTATACCTCCATATTTTTTAATATTAAATACTCTTGATACAATATGAAACAAGCAAAAATGCAAATTTGTATCAAATTTCAGCTCTCTAGGTAAAAATGACCGAACTCTAGAAAAAGCGCATGAATTTTTTCCAAATTTTAAAATCGAATTTATGTCATTTGAAATTTGCAGAAAATAATTCATGCGTTCTAGGGTGGATTAGCGAAATACGTAATAAAAAAAAATACTTATTTTGACAACAGCGATTTAAAAGGGATGAGAGAGAGAGATTGTGCATTTTTGGATATAGAAAGAAACTGAAACGTGACTGATATTTCCGAGAGCAAAATTCGATAAACACGTGTGTTTCATTTGCTGCTTTTGAAAAAATCACGTTTTTCCAGACGACGATCGTATGGGTCATTATAAAATCGGACACATCTTTATCTATTAGTTCCTCGGTAGATGACTGGAAGGTAATGTGTGTGTATATATGTAATATATTTGGAGGTAAAGAGATATATATATATATACATACAGGTAGGCAGGTTGTCTGGCATAACTTGGTTGGTAGCTGAAGAAGATATCGAACAGATAGGCAGCTTACGTTGGGTAATGGAGACTGTTGGGTGCCGCTAATGCAGTAGCGATGTCATGCTATACCCGGTGCATCGCTATTTTCTCTCTCATCTGCCCTTGCTTTTCGCTTTTTTTCTTTTTTATCGCCATATCGTTCAATGTACTTAGGGCTTTTTCAAATGGATTCCTATATCAATAGTATACTCAACATTTTTTGCGTCTACTATAATCTTAAAGAAAAGTAACTATATAAAAATAAAATTTTTTTGTTACAGAATGTTTGGCAGTATGAAGCGATGTGCAAGATGTCAAGCGGCGATACTTGCCTCGGAATTGGTGATGAGAGCTCGTGAATTGGTGTTTCATGTGAGATGTTTTTCATGTGCGGCTTGTGGAGTGCCCTTAACAAAGGGGGATCATTTTGGAATGAGAGATGGAGTTGTTTTGTGTAGACATCATTATGAAATGGGAGCAGAAATGCATCCATCGCAAAGTCCACCGGTTCCTGTTTATCCCCCGGGACCACATTATCCGGGTCAATCGTTTCCCTCGCCTGAATTTTTGCATCATCATCCACATGGTCCTCCTCATCCACATAATACAATGCATCAACATCAACATTCTCATGTGAGTCCCGTTCATCTTCAATCGACAACACCATCCGGCCCTGAGGCTGGTTCACCCCCCAAGGTGCCCTCTTATTTCAACGGTTCCGGAACCAATGTCCCACCTCCCAGACAGAAGGGAAGGCCCAGAAAAAGGAAACCCAAGGACCTCGACGCTATGACTGCTAGTCTAGGTGAGCTATTGTTTCTTTTTTTTCTCCTCTAGGGAATAAATTTAAAACTTTTTATACACACTTATAGAGATTAATGATCGTTACAACCATATTTATATGTTTATATACTAATCCAAACGGAGTAGTAAAACAACAAAAACTCTTTTTCAACTTTGATACCAATAATTTAGGTATCACAAAATAATCCCAATATTTGGATTAATTTTTGATAAATATATAAAATCAAAACGTTGCTTTACAAAATGATACCATCAAATTAATAGTTCTATCAGTGTAGTATAAAGAAACTAAAATTTAATATTTCAATTAACGAAATGATAATTAATACAAATAATAATGGTAAATAATTTATAATAATATAATATATAAAATTCTATATATTCAATCAAAGTCATTGTCAATTTGTTCTGCTTCAATATATGCGTTATATTGATGAAACTTGAATCGAAACATGTTTCTTATTATTAAAATTTATTATAAAGTTTGAATTTTCTTTTTTTTTGAAATAAATAATTGCGGGAAACAAAATTTACCTCCTCTTTCAACTGACATCTAATTAACAATATCTCTTTCATTAATATATATTTCTCCCTTTATCTTTCTATTCGTGAAATCTATTGAAGACATCAAAGAATCTTGATTGCGATTAGTTTGTGCGAGCAATAAAGATTTCAATTTCACGTTCATATTTATGTATAATTATAATAAATGATTTTGATTATATGAAAAGGAAACCAGTTGTGCAAAGAAATACATATATATATCTAAGTATATATTATAATCTAAAACTGGTTTCACACAGTTGACGAGACTAAAAATTCTTGGCAAAAATTCGGACCGGTTCATCTGGGTTATCATTGAAATTGCTTATTTGTTTCATTAATAGAGTGCTTGCTTATCAACACAACACTGGGGATCCATATCCCCTTATGCTCCTATATATATATATATGGATAAATGATTTGTTTTTTTTGCAACGGGCAATTATACAATAAATTCGAAAAAACGACGCATAAGAGTTTTGCATTGATTTTGCTTTATATGACTTGGAATTTCAATTTTTTGCTTGAGATTAAAATTATATATAAATTTAAAAATTATTTACTATGCAATAAATATATAGGTATAGTGTATATGTTCAAAGAAGATTTACAGAAGTAAATCTGGTCCAATATATAAACACAGAGAAAGACAGAGAAGTACTCGAAACTTGTGTAAGGCTTGCTTGATGATAATCACATTTCGAACAAGGGTCTCGGATTCAGTCCAAGAATTCTACGTTCGCGTAGAGTTTTAAAACAAGCATTTTTATCTAAACGATCAAGTGTGAAGAACAAGAGTGTAATTTACACTCTATGGCGAGTGATAAGTCACTCTATATCAATATTATAATTTTTCAAGAATAAAATTTTTAAAAAATGTCATTACTATACCATATTATTGATAGTATAGTTACTATATGCACAACTAGTGCTATTGACATTATCACTCAGATAAAAATTTATTTGGAACAACCAAATATATATATATATATATATATATATATATATATATATAGGAACGCATGAATATAGTCTGTAGAATGAAAATTGAAAATTTTTTTTTTAAAAAAGTCAATGAAATATTGGTAAATAAAAATTCTAAGGAAAGAATTTTAGAGCTTATTTATGCGTCCCTATATAAGCAATTAATTAATTTGGTTAATCTAATCAAATTATTCATTTGCTTATTTTTAATTGAAAGAATCAAATACGTTATTGATATTATTTTTTTTTTTTTGATCCCCTGAACAATATGTTCTTTATTAGAAAAAAATTTGTTTGATTCAAATAAAATGTTTTATCAAAATGCATGTAGAGTTGTAATTGATCGTGTATAGCCATATGTGGTCTTATATATAAGTATATATATATACGTAAACACTATCACCTCGTTTTGTTAACAGTGAGCTAATGAGTCGTGATACGCATCGAACAGTGCTTATAAAGTAGGGACTTAGCTTGCATTAAACGATATAAATCTTCACATGACCTTACATTATATCCTAATCAACTATCAACACTTCACGAATCATTTTAATTCAAAACAATATATTCATTCGGTATTTAATCGTCATTTATTATTTGAATTGGAAAAGAGATAAAAAAAAACTTTTTTTTCAAAATACAAATAGTGTTAAAAAATTTAAATAAAAATTTCTCGGAAAAAAATGAAAATTTCGGATGACTTTATATATATATATATCAGTATATTCAATCTAGATAAATCAAAACATAGGATCATTATAATGAACCTGTCGTTAATAACAGGGAGAATCCGTTTCGAAACAATAATAATTTGTGTGTAGGACAACATTTGAATCATTTCTTGCTGAAAGCACACACACACTGTTCATGATTCTGAAAATTATCAGTGACTTGATCGCACCTTTCAGTTTTTAAGACACGCAAACAGGTCTCGCTCATGTGCGTAAAGGTCGCAGAGAGGAAAAAAAAAAAGAAAGAGAGAGAATTAAAAACGATGATGGTATATAAGTGTGTCTGAAAACGTATTTTCGAACGAAGGGGCAGTCATTGTTTTCCCACGGTTTGTGGTCTACATGAAGTTTTTGGTCTACGGAACTCGGCCCACGCGCAACAAGAACGCTTTGTTGCGAATCGGATTCGTGAATTTATGTCGTTGGGACAAATTTTATCGGGGTTCAGTGGCAAACGCTCGACGCCTACGCATCCATAAATCACTGTGAATCGGATTCGAATCTGGTCCGCGATGTAGCATTAAGCTGCATTCATACGACAGCTATAGTGGAAGGAACGATTCTGATGAAAAAAAAGGAATGATAAATGCGCATCTATATATCTCGTGAAAATCGTAGAATATTGAAATTTCTTCATACAGAAGTTTAAAAAAAATCGTATCATCAATTTTTAAACACATGTATAAAGTAAATAATGAAAAGTGAATTATTAGTGGAAAAATATTTGCTCAGTTGCATAATTTTTTTTTTTCCATTATTTCTTTAATATTCCCCCTGTCCCATTTTTTGTTCTTCTTTTTCGTGGGACTTTAAAGACTCTTCGATGAGCAAAACCGCTGAGGAAGTATTATCATCATCATATCCTTTTAATGAAAACAACCTTTCTTTTTTTTTTTTTGGTTGCAGATCTTAATTCGGATTACATAGACATGCCTTTCGGAAGGGGCGGTCCCGGAACTCCAGGAATGCCAGGTTCAAATAGTCGCACGAAGCGAATGAGAACGAGTTTTAAGCATCATCAACTTCGAACGATGAAGAGTTATTTTGCTATCAATCACAATCCCGATGCAAAAGATTTGAAGCAGCTTTCCCAGAAAACAGGCTTGCCAAAGAGGGTATTACAGGTGAGACTTTTTATTCTATATTCATTCATTCTTATTGTAAATTAATAGTAAGAAAAACGTGTACCGTTTTACGTTAAAAAAATATATGATTTCTACTTTTTTCTGTCTTTTGTTTGTTTGTTTTTTTTTTATTTGTTCGTCGACATAAATGTAATTGAGGTGGCATTTCAACTGCTGTCAGTATACTTTTCATCGACTGGATCCGGATCCAGAAATGCTTTGAGAGTGAATATATATATATGCTCGACGATACGACTCGGTTAGGCATGACTTATTAACTATACGCGGCTTAGATCTTATAGCGCAGTTATAATTTACACCGCAAAATACAATTTATGAGCTAGAAATCTCGCGGAGTAGGAGACTCAATTATAAAACTTGCGGTATGAAATACCATGGACCCCATAATTTAATCCAAAGTTATGCGAGTAGCAATGCACAATATAATGTGTATAGATGTAAAAAAAAAAAAAAAATTGTAACACGACAATAATAGACACTGTCAAAAATAAGGAATATGCTTTTTTATATTTATAATCATCATTTTTATTCTGGGAATTTCTTTGACTAAAATCACTGCCGTCTCAACAATTAGTTATTTAAAATTTTTTAAATTATTTTTTAGACAAAAAAATTTTTTTTAATAAAAACAACTTTTAAGAATACACAGAAAAAACATAGTCTCATTTTTGGTACATCTCAAAATGAGCCAATGCTAAACGACATAGACAGTGGCGCCACCAACCTGGCTCATTTTTGTTGCAAATGAGTACCGTACGCTACTCATTTTGAGACAAGGTTTTTTCTGTGAACCATTTTCATATCTTCTTTAATCATTCACGGAGAAAAAGGAATGGTTGGGCCAACCATAGGTATTGATAAATACGTCCCATCAATATTATATGGTTACCACAACCATATCTTTAGTTGATACAACCATAGTATAGTTGGCGCAACCAAAGGTCAGGTTGACACATTAAATTTGCAATTTTTCATCATTTTGATGTGACAACCTAACCTTTGGTTAGGCCAACCATACTATGGTTGTATCAACTAAAGATATGGTTGTGATAACCATATAATATTGATGGGACGTATTTATCAATACCTATGGTTGGCCCAACCATTCCTTTTCTTTCCGTGTTATTTTTCTTGTTGAGACGGGAGTTAGAATGTAGGCTATTTTAAAATATATTCATATACGAGTATGATTCTCCCAAAACAGGTCACTTTTGATCCTTTTTTTTCTAAATAGTGACTAGAAATTCAATTACCTTTATCAATTTCTATTTACTGGCATTAATTTTTTGTTTTTCTGAAAAGTGACTACACTGAAAAAAAAGTCTGGTTAAAATAACCAGAATTCTGGTTAATCTAACCAGAATAAAAAGTTATATATACCCTTACTACTTTTTCTGGTTAAAAGTACTAGAAAATTTGGTTAAAAAATTCTGGTTAATTTTACCAGAATTTCAAGTTAATCTTACTAGAATTTCAAGTTAATCTTACTAGAATTTTTCTAGTTAAAAATTTTTGGTAAAAAAATTTCTGGTTTATCTTACCAGAAATTCTAGTTAATCAGAGAATTAATTAAATTTATTATTATTATATGATATTATAAAATATTATAAAATATGAATTAAAAAAATTTGTATTATGTACATATAAATGCAATCAAACAATAACACCTTTACACTGCAATTCTCTTAATAATGTTTATTTAAATATGATTATTCAGAATTAAAATTCTGATAAAACGTGTCGAGCACGTTTTCAACATAACCTTCAAACTATTTTCTACACGAGTTTGCCGTTCGTCAACAATTTTTTCACTTATATTATAAAATTAATTATATAACCAACCTTTAAACAGATCTTTTAATTCTCCCAAACCCCAATTTTCCAGAGCTTGGTTAACTTTTTCATCCATTCTTGCGATCCGCACGATAAACTATTCGAAAAAGAACAACAGACGCTATGCAGTGTCCGCGAACGCGCGTTTTTAACCAGAATTATTTTAACCAGAATAATTTAACCATACTTATTTAACTAGAACTGTTTAGTCTTTTTAACTATATTTTCTTGTTAAAATAACTAGAAATTTTTTAACCAAACGCATCTAGTAACTTTAACCAGAACTTTTTTTTCAGTGTATAAATTCAATTCCCTTTTATCAATTTCCATTTACTGGTGTCAAGTATGAAATTTACAAGAAAAAAACCTTCATCTGGAACACAGTGAAAAGTTTTATTAGAATAGAGAAAGTCATTAATTAAAATAATTAAAACTATACAATTTTGTATAGTATGTATATACAATTTTTTTTTAGATCCATTCTTCATTATTTAATTCTTTTCAAAATTTCATCATTTTGTTTTTATTTTATACATATATTATAGCTAGGATACTCATCCTCGACGGGTTTTGAGTATTTTTATTCTTCATTATATCTAAAGTTGTAAATTTTATATATAATGATAGTCAACTAATTTCTATACCTACTTTTTTATTCAAAAAAAATCTATTATTAAATTAATATTTATTCTTAGATAATTAAAAAAAATCTGAATCTTAATTTATGTTAAATATTGATTATTTAAAATTACATTGGATAAATTTATTCGATATTATATTTATAATCGATTGGTGTTTGCGTTTCATTTGAATATTGTAAAGAAATAAACGATTAATTTATTTCCATTGCATTTGCGGGAACTAATATACAATATAAAATTAGTATTATCGTGTATATATATATATGTATACGTAAACGAAAGATATGTGTCGTAATATTAAAATCAGTCTGTCTTCCAGTTGGAAATTATTGGTTTACGACTTTAATGATTTAATGTTTATTATAGAGATCTTGTTAATTAATTTACAACATTAAATTTTAATTGTATAATGTAAATATTTTTTGATTGAGATGAAAGCAATATTTTTATATAATGTGATGCTCCACGAGAGAAGGGACCTTACGTCAAAAAATTTTTAGGTTATGTTCAATATAAGTTTTACCTTGATAAAAAGTTTCTTTTTAATTAGGTAAAATCAAAATTAGTTTTTATTGAATTTTTTGTCTGTAAGTATTTTTACTTCAAAAATCACAAGCATAACCTAAAATTTTCTTGACGTAAGGTCCCTTTTCTCGTTTAGCGTCACACATATTTAAAAATTAATATATTTGATTTATTAAAATCAATTTTCTTTATTAATTTTCATATATTTAAAAAAAGTACATGTAAATTATTGTTTATTTTTCATATTTCAATATATTTCCATACACTAAATAAATAGGTTCTTTTTTTAATACTTTTTTTTTAATTAATAAATTAATTTTACTTTTCGAAATGGATGCGGATATAAATTATATTGATCAAGTTTAGTTAAGGGGGGGTTGCCATTGAAATTTTTCTTTTGGTAAATTGGCTGGTTGCGCGTCACTTGAACGGAAATGAGATGAGAAAAAAAAAGAAAGAAGAAAAGAAAGAAATAGAAACGCCGAGAGTCAGGAAGATAGACCGCGTGAACGTTATACCTCTTGTTTTTCTTCTTAATTTTTTTTTTCTTTTTGAAGAGGCGACTCGATAAAAATATTCACGGGCGCGACCCCGAAGTATGTATATTCTTCTCCCAATTAGTGGCGCTCTGAACCGCGTTACGGCTGTTGGGTTAAAAGCGCCGCAACGCGATATTTCCGTCGACACACTATATATGAGACTCGTTCTTTTCTCTTTCCGCGTTAAATATATATATATATATATATATATATATATATATATATATATATGTATATTTGTGTACATATGTGAGAGCTGCATCGTCAATCTGGCAGTAGTCAAATCCCTAGTGTCTTCAGAATCGTTCGCCGACGTGTAAGGTACACCTACATGCAAGCCAGACATAAATTACCACGCTAATAACTCATTCTGTGCTATTTATTTCGCATAGACGACCCTTTGTCATCGAACTCAGAACATTGTTTTGATATGCGCCACAATTTCCAAATATTTCAATGATATGACAATTTTGTTGTTATAAACAAAGAGCATTATGGAAAAATGATACCTATATCAGAGATTTTTGGATTGGATTTATAGATAAATTAATCCAACCAAAACTTACTGGCACCCAGTATTGGCGCAACTTTGGAAAAGTTGAGAAATATATTTTTCCCTTCATATTTTTCAAAAGTCGATGAAAATCTAAACTTTCTAATCAAATTTCAATTATTCCTGTTTTTAAACATTGAAAAGTACTGAACCAGTACTGCGCCAGTAGTCAACTCTGGTATATAATATTGCAATTTTTGGTTGGGAGCTGAAAAATCCCCTACCAAAAATTACCAGAGTTCACTACTGGCACGGTACTGGTACCAATATCGCACCACTACTGGTAATTAATTTTTAATAAGGTTAATGGTATATATACTGAAAAAAAAGATTTGACTGAAAAAGGTATCCATCCGTAGTGATTAAAATACATTATAATATGCTATATATATATATAATAAAATTGATAATCTATATATGTAACGTTCCACCGTGAAAGGGACCTTAGCTGCAAAAATTTTTAGGTTATATTTGAGACTTTTGGAGTAATAATAAAGAAAGAACAACTATAATATTGTAAGTTTTCATTAAATTCAAAACATACAATAAAAACTGTTTTTGCATAATTAAAAATGAACGTTTAATAAAGGTAAAACTATCACTAAACATAACCTAAAATTTTTTTGTAGTCTAAGGTACTTTTCACCGTGAAGCGTCATATATGTAAGTCAATTAAAATTAATAATAATGAAAAAGAAGAAAAGAAGATAAAATTTTTTTTTGAATTTAAAATTTTTAGTTTATTTTTATTTTTTAAATTGTTTACATATCTAGAAAATTTTCGCCTTTTTTTGATTGCACTAAGAGTTCTTCTGATTATTATTATATACCACATGCTCTAGTGGCTTGAAAAGAGAGTCTCAAGTACTACATTCATTTACACGTGTTTCATAGTAGTATATATATCATATTTTTCCTCATTTAAATATATATTTTTTTTAATTCAACCCTTTACCGGCGCATGAATAAAAAATATCATTTCACACCATTGTTCAAAATAAACCAAAACTTTGTTTATTACTTCTTTAAGTTTAAATTTTATTGAAAAATACTAGTTTTTGTATTAAAAAATTAATCATTTAATTAATTAATGTTGGGAGCTGTTCATAAATTACGTCACACTATTTTTTACTATTTTAGACCCCCCCCCTCCCCCATGTCACACTTTTTACACACATTAGCGCCATTTTTTCTGCTGGTTGTCACGAAATTGCTTGACCCCCCCTCCCCCTTAAGGTGTGACATAATTTATAGACGCTCCCTTGAATAAATATTCAATATTCAATATTTTTATTTAATTTTATTTATATTTGTTTATATTTCATTAACAGGAGAAATTTTAAAAAATTTACATACCCAAAAAAAATTATTTCGTTCATTTGAGCATTCTAAGAATTTCAGGCACATCGCCTCATCGTTCTATAACAGAAATGTAAGATTAAATGTATTCGTATCCAAAATACGTTTAGGTATTCTCAAAAAATTTCGGTTTTAATTTTTTATAGGTTTCAATTTTTTCCTTAAATCAGTTTCCATGACATAAATTTGTCTTTCTGTTATATGGTTATATTTTTTAAATTACTTCTAGTTAGATTTTTCTCGCACATTATTGACATATATAGGGAGAAGATTTATTGATATTATAAAACTTTTCTCTTTCAGAGGAATTTTTATATACGAAACAAATATAATGTATATTTTTGAATTAAATAAAAATATATTTGTTTCCCGTGATGAAATTCGCCAACCTGGCCATCGCCTGGTTGAAACAGGGAACCCGATCGGGTCCAAACCAGGCCCCCGTTTTAATCGATTTTAATCGGGTTAAAGTAGGGCACTCTTCTGTGTCCCCCAAACTGACTCGCCCTGTTTCATGCGGATTTGGAGCTTCTCGACGTGGGCCCTGCTAGGGCCCTTTAAAAAATTTCAACACGAGTTCAAATAAAAATTTTTTTGGTATAAAATATATTTGTAGTTGAGACAAATAAAATTTTCCCCCTATAGGTGTATATATTATTGTTATTATTTTATTTCTCCAGACAATAAGAATCTACAATAAATTAAATTTGTAAAATGAAAAGTACACCGTATGGAAAAGAAAAAATTTATCGAAGACAATATTCCTCTTTCTACTATGTATGTATATATATATATACATTATTATCACATTCGAGGAAGTGGCGTCTCTGCTTCTTTCGCTAGGGAGAGCAAGTAGTCCATAAAACTTTTTTTTTCCCTTCCCATTAACCAAGCTCTGGGTATTATTCACAATATATCTCGGTGCGCTTCCCGAAGAGATTCCTGAGTCACATATAGTATAGGAAAACGGGTATGGGAACAGAAAGAAGGAACGGTTAAATTCGAGACCGAGAAAGCCTCAAAGGGGTTGTAGTGAAGTTGGTAGAATGGACAGAGAAGGAGAGAGAGAGGAAAAAGACGACTATTGTATTCGGGCGCAGTGTGTAGAGGTTTTGAGCGCGCCATCTTGGTTGATATTGATCGCGAGACGCGCGAATACTCACTCCGGCAGCCACGGGAGTTGGTTTATTCGTTCATCCTGCTTTCGTTCCTTCTCTCTTCTTGGTTCGTTCGTTCGAGGGGAATACTCCCGATTCACTTTCTTTCATTCTTTTCTCTCTTTGTCGTTCTCCTGGGAGTCTGCGAGGGAGGAGACTATCTTCAAAATGGCGACCCACACGATTCGATGCATTACCATCTTTTATTTATCGTCGCAGAATGCCTCGAGCTCTTGACGCAATAGACCATTGTCCTGACGTTCGATACACACACACACACACACATATATATATACTAGAATCCCTCCTTCGTTCCTGATTCATTGTCTTCTTTAACACGAATCCTCCACTTCGTCGCGAAGGGAAAAAAATCGGCTCATCTCTGTCTTTAACATCCCTTTAATGGACCCGATTCTTGACTATATATACGTACAGAAAATTTTCAATCATTTGTGATATTTTTGCAAAAGACAAAATTACACAAGAGTGCTTGGCAATTGAAAAAAATATGCTCTCTTAAGAGCATATGAAAATTATTAATTATAATATGCTTTACAAAAATTTGTAAAATTATATAAATTTTGTAGCATATGCTTTTGAATCGCGCACAGTATACTCTCTAAATTTGAATTAGTGAGAATTTTTTCACTACAATGCATATTAGTAGAAATTTTCAGAAATTAGTAAACGAATTCTAGCACTAATTCAAATTTAAAGACTTGATATATGCGACAGCCAAAAAAATCCCTGAGTAACAAATTTTAAGTAAATCCAATGAATTACAAAAAAAAACTGTCAGCCATATTGGAAACGCCATATTGAATTTTGTAAAACTGACATTTGAATTTGCAATCAGCGACTCTGAAAACCTCACTCTCTAAATTTCAGTGAATCAGTGAGATTTCTAGTTGGAATTTAGCAACTGTATTATAGTTCAGTAAAATTTCCATGGAAATTCAGTCACATTTCACTGATGAAAATCATTAAAATTATTACTGTTTGAAACAGTCAAATCTGTTTTACCGATATATTATAATGCAGATTTTACTGTTTAAATCAGTAATAATTCTACTGATTTTCAGTGAAATGTTACTGAATTTCAGTGAAAATCTTATTGAAATGATTCAGTTGCTAAATTCTAGCTAATATATTTCATCAGTGAAATCTCACTGATTCAAATTTAGAGAGCAGAGTAACCATTTTCATTATGAGCTTATAGAGTATATATAACTTAATTTTATAATTTTTTGTGATCTTATACAAAAATTATTTTCTTTAGTTATAATTAAAATGTAATTATTGCTGTATAATTTTTTTTTTTTTTTGCAAAGTATTATAAATTTGTGAGTATCACTTCCGTAAATAATAGTTTTTTTCTCTCAGCACATTTGACTCATCTCTTTTTCTCTCAAGGAACATTAAACCAAATTCCGTTCCCATTAACCTTGCACCTATATATATAATTATTATCTCAAAAACACAGTTGTTTCTATTAGTTTAGGAACGTATAATTTGACCCTGAAAAAACTTTTTTTTTGCTTGTCATCAACTTATTATTGTATTTATCTATCTCTCTATAAGAAGGAAGTGAAAATCAACCCCTAATTTTCAAGTGTCAATAATGTCTGTGTGTGAAATATATAAAAAGCGGAAATTTATGTTTAATATAATCTAATCGATGATTTCCCGTTTTGTGTGTTGCAGGTGTGGTTTCAGAATGCGCGTGCGAAATGGCGACGCATGGTGTTGAAACAGGAGGGCAAATCAGACAAGTGTGGCAGCGGAGTTGACGGCGGTTCCCTTGGTGATTTAGAACTTTATGGCAATAGTACAGGAAGTGGTGGTCCTCCAATGAGTCCTCCATTTATACTTGGCGGACCTCATAGTCCGGCGTCACTAGCCTCCCTTGACTGTGCGTGATTAAGGAAATTCAATACTACGATGAGCCAACCATAAACTCTCGCCCCTTGTGTGTGTGTGTGTGTGTGTCAACCACCTTTTCGAACGAGAGACTTGTAAATTTAGAACGCCTGCGGAACGAGAGTGAAAGTGAATCAAGGTAGTAGTTAGCCTTAATTGGACGTCTCGTCTCGCAAAGTGACGTTCCATTCGTTCTCTCTGTAAATGTCGTCGTATATGGCGGACGTGTATTTATCCGGGCGAAAATCCTAGATCAGTCCTTGAAATCACTGCAGCTTCATGAAAAATTCCCTGTCCAATTTCAAAGACTTTCTAACGATATACATATATATATATATATATATAACAAGAGGCAAAAATAAACCAACAAAAAGAGATAAATAACAAATATTTATGAATATCTTAATTTTCACAAGAAATTGGATGTAAATGAGATTATATAGAAAAAAAAAATTGTGATTGATTTATTAGTTAATTTTAGTTGCTAATATTCAAAATTGTTCACCGGTCTAAATTATTTATAAATTAATGTTAGTAGAGTGAAATATATATATATAAAAACCTATATATAAAAAAAAGCGGTGGTTTCGAGGTTTTAAGGGCTAGAAGACTGACGAACGTATGAGCATTTTGTGAATATTTATTGCGCTTTCATTGAGAGCGTTTATGTAAAAAGTTAATGCGATTTTCAGTTTTAAGTTAACTATATTGTAGAATAAAAAATTACAACTCTCTTCGTAATCTTCAGATTAAAAAAAGATATATACGTTACGACGATTTCTTTTTTGCTTTATTGTACTATATTGAAAAAAAAAATTAAAAACTTCTCCAGTGTATTTATTCTAGAATCGTCGCTATCGAATGGTTTTTTTTTTATTTTCCATTGAGTCAGAATTAAAGTGAATCCTTCGTTTGAAGAAAAAAAAAACCTATATATAATTTAAACGAGCATTTGTAAGATTAATTGATAAATATTTATTGGCTCGGTATATATGGTTCTTCAGGAGGGAATATGAATAGAAAAAAAAGCAATTAAAGGCTCGTCAATAACTTGAAACTATTTTAATATAATATATAGATATGTATATGTGCAAATAAATTAAAAAAAAAAAGAATATAAATTATATTTTCGTCGTGTGATCTTAACTTTACGATTGTCAAGCAGTTTGCGATGTAAAATTTCTAAAGCTCTCTGACTGATGTATTGTACAGTATATTGATTATATGGAAATGTTGTCGAAGGAGGCACTTGAAGAAATAAAGAAACCCAGTTTTTTTCTTGAAAATCTTGATATACTTTTATTTTTCCCTATTGTTTTTTTTAATTATTCGAATTTTATAGACATTTTTATTTTTCAAACCAACATCTCAATATATAATTTTTATTTTTCATTCATTTATTTTGTTTATATTTCTCGTCAAATTTTGCTAATATTAATAAATACAATTATATTAATAATTAATATTAATAAAATTGAAGAGCTCCACGGAATAACGATCTATGGCACAATTGAAAAGTTTGGTTATGAGCTTTCAAAAAACGTAAATTTTCATGAAATTTGTAATAAGTATGTATATGTAAATTGTTATTTATTACACTTTTGGTAACTATTATTAATTCTATTAGTTACAATAATTCGCTTACAGCTATTAATTTATAAAATTTTTATATTTTTTGAAAGCTCATAACCAAGCTTTTCAATTGTGCCATAGATCGTTATTCCGTGGAGCTCTTCAAATATAAATATTCTTTTTCAATAAGCTTTTTTTTAATTACGATTTTTGATTTTAAAAAAATTATTTAGAAATACTACACGGAGAAAAATATAGTTAGCTATATTAACTAAAAATTAGTTATTTTAGCTAATCCTAATTGCTATTATATGGATAGCAATATTATTGTTAGCTAATATATGGAAAAATGAAAGAGAAGAAGAAAAATATTCATTTTAAATAAAAATCCGTTATATAAAATATATATTCGTTTGATATAAATAAAATACAAAAAGTTGGGTATTCAACAAAAATTAATTTTTTAAGCAAAAAAAAAAAGCAAAGAGCTACTTTTTTTTATAACAATTTTTTATCTCGAGTGTTATTATATTTTTTACCGTATTTTTCCTTTTAGGTGGAATAATTTGTGAGATATAAAAATGTTAAGGTATCTGTTTTACATAGCGAAGATGTCGTTTATAGTCCACTTAATTTGCCAGTTTATGAATATATATCGAGTGTCATAATAAAGAGCAGGTTTTTTTTTCTTCTTTTCTTTAATATTGTACTAAAAATATTGATTAAATTTAAAAATTCTCGTGAGAATATTTTTAAAGGTGAATTGTATCACACATTATATATATATATGTGAATCGAGTTATATATATTTACCATAATAATATTAATAAGAGGAAAGTTCTTAGTCTCTGTGCAAGCAGACAATAATTTATCATAGTGACTTAATGCTCACTATTGTGAAATGTTATGCACTCATGAATTTACGCTATATTATTTTGCGTATGATAATTTTCTCTTGAAACTGACACTTTCGAAATTTTTTTTTATTGTATACGATAATGTTTAACATTTTTTTTTTAATTTAATACAAATTAATTAAGGTGTGAAGAATTTTATTTGTATTTTGATATATTAAAAGTTGCATTTTTATAATTGAGCTACCGGATCAAAGAAGGGCATATAACTATACTGAAAAAAAATGTATTTGATTTAAATAATCGTTTACTTGACTATTATCAAATAAATAATTATTTGTATTAAATAATTAGTATTTGTTTCAAATTAAATGATATTGGTTTCAAATACAGAAATTATTGGTTCAAATACAGTTTATTTAATTCTAATAAAAATTATTTGGTTCAAGTAAATATTTACTTGATAATAGTCAAGTATAACTGATTATTTGAATCAAATTTTTTTCTTAGTGTAGACTCTAAAAATTCATTTTAAGATTTTTGAAGACTTTTTAAATAAGTAATACCTAATTAACTGGTGTTATTTTTTTTAAATAATATTAAAATATTTTTAACACTTTTTTTGCGTGTGTACTGGTGAATCAATAAAATTCCATATTGATTCAAAGAGAGGAAGATTTTTAAAAAATTTTTGTTTACTTTTTTTTTAAGAATTAGAAAAGTCACTGCGAAATGTTTAGAATAAAAACACAAAACAATAATATAATTGAGTCTGGAAAAATTCCGTTTTCTGTTTAAAATGAAAGAAACTTTTTTGTAAGGCGGGTGGTATGCCAAACAAGTCGTTTAAATTGTATACATAAAATCATTCATTGCATTCTACAGGAGATTCCATTGACGCGGAATCGCAAACGTCGGTAAACAATGATTGTATGTGTGTATTTATATATACATATATATATATCGGGGAAAGAATGTTTCACGGAGATTCTCTAGTAATGTTTCACAAGCATATTCCTTACTATTTCCTCGTACATGCGATATTTATGTTGTACAATTTGCTCCTCGCTCTACCGGCGCACATTATCCGTTTTCCCACGAAGGACTTTGCACGAAGCGATCTTCATTAGTTTATACTATACATATATGTGTGTGTGTGTGCCAAGAGAGTGAAAGAGGAAGAGCGAGGGAGGGGAATATAGACTTTCTTCAAGTATTGGTGAATCACCTTGAGTGGCATTACAAAGAGAGAATTGCACTTTAAATCGTCGTAGAAATGTCTCTCAAAAGTAAGAGGTAAAACTAGATCTACGATTTCTGGTTTTAGAAAATGTCATTCAGTAAACTTTACATCGATTACTGGACACGGTTCATTAGCTTCTTCTTTCTTTTCTTTTTACTTTAATATATTTATGAGAAAATAACAAGTTTTATGGGACAGTTTATTTTTTTTTTATTTTGTAGCTTATTTTCTTATAATTTATAAATTGTTAAGGTACATTTTCGGATTTAAATGGATTTTGTAGTACCAATAGTAAATTTATAAGAATTTAGAAGTCTGACTGAAATATATTTCTACTACTAAAATAAAAATTCAGAAGTATCACTAAAACTTACTTTCACTACTGGTACCAAATTTCTTAAAGTATTTGGAAGTCTTTATTAAACTGACTTTACGCACTGAAAAAAATGTTTGGTCAGTACAACCAAACTTTGATTGTACACTCAAAAAAAATTCTGATTAAAATAACTATAATTCTGGTTATTCTAACCAGAAAAAAATGTTAAATATACCCGTGCAGAAATTATAGTCTGGGCCTCCCAAGGCCCTTCCCAGTTCGCCAGGATTCGGGCAAGGGCCTGACATGATAAAGCAGTGACGCCACAAGACGAAGTAAAATCATTTTAAAATACAATGAAACTTTTATCATAGTCTCGTTTTGTCTCTTTTTTGCTACTTTAGTTAATATAACTTGGAAAGGATCAGCTAGTCCCCAATTGTCTAAAGCTTGTTGCACTTTTTTATCCATTTTTATCCATGTACTGACACAGCGTGAACATCGTACTATAACCAAAAGATCTCCAAATACAAGCTCGGTCGACTCAATGTAAAAACCACGAAGCAGTATAAGGAGACACCACTGTCTGGGAAAGCTGAAGCCATTTTCCCCGTTTTTCTTACAATTAACGGAGGTGTCGAACCCTAACGAGAAAATTTGATATCTCCGAAATTTCGTCCGCTAAAAGTGACATGAGCGATGTAACCATGGAGAATCTCCATGGATATAAATATGATATAATTATTTATGTTATGTAAAAATACAGTATCGAGATAAAATTAGTAACTGCAAGTGAATATAAATTATTAAACTGTTTAAATTTTATTTTAATTATGGTTGTGATAAAAATATACTTTAATAAGATTTATATTTAAAATGAAACTCATTATTATTATTATTTGGATTTCATGGAAAATAGTTTTGTAAATAGATTTATATTTTGTATTACCTTTAACACAATTTGTTTTACATCCTTTAATAGAACAACTAATCATATTTCCTTATTTTTCTTTAAATTATTTACAAAAATCGGAAAAAAACAAAGCGATATAAAAAAAATCAGTTTATGCAGGTTATGCCACGGTAGCCATTTTGCGAAAGTTGTATTTATTAGTAACTGTATGTACAAATTTTGTGTCAGTATGGGTATTAATATAGCAGTGGGGTCTCCTTATACTACTTCGTGGTAAAAACTGTGGCAAAAGATTTCTAGACTTCAGCGCCTCTGTCGTGAAAACAGAGTGAACTAAAGCGTGTATGTATACGCAGCTGCTTGTGCATGTTTGTATAGACCCTCGTGTGAGTTACGCGGTAAAAGTGATTGAATTTAAAATATTTGATTTTATTATTTTCTGGAAAATGTAATTAATATATTATATTATAGTTAAACAAATTTTAACAATATCTATACATTCAAAGTGGACATAATATTTGAAAATTTAATTAATAATGTATAGGGTCAGTTGGGGTAAATGGGGACAAAATCGCTATTTTTCACAAATTACGTAAGTTTCTTCCTTTAAAAGGTAATATTTGCGGGTTTATTGTTTTTAAATTGTTATTTACGTTCCCACACTGAGAGAAGAACAGCACGGAATCTAAAATGGAGAAGTTCAGCATCTGTACACCAATTTGAGCGCAGCAGCAGCGTCACTGTGTGATATAGATGCCTTACTATAAAATGTGAAATGGTTGTTGTGCTTGGCTTGAGTATAGATACTGTACACAGATATGAACTGTTCAGAAGTACAGTATTTGTCGGTCGCTATGAGACAGATTCCGTATAACTTAGTTCACACCGCTGCCGCGCTGTTAGAGCTTAGTATCTGAACTATGAGCGACACCAACTGAACAAAACTAAAGAACGGATACTGACACCCATTTTACACGGCCGGTGTTCGTCACAGTACGGATTCTGTGCTTTTCTTCTCTAAGTGCAGGATTAATTTTATGCATCAGAAAAAAATTTAAATAAGCTTTAAACGCATGAAACTGAACCCATTTACCCCAAAATTTAGAAAATTTCTTAAAATTTAGGGGTAAAGGGGGACAGGTAGACCTCATATTTTTCAAACTATACTAACCAGAATTATTTAACCAGAAATATTTGGTTTTATTAACTATTTTTTCTGGTTAAAATAACTAGAAAATTTTTAACCAGACGCATCTAGTAATTCCAACCAGAACTTTTTTTACAGTGTGCCAACTGAATTATTTTGTTAGCCTAACCAAAGTTTAGCTGTACTGACCAAACATTTGATTGCTCGGACAACATAATTTTTTCATATACTGATACCGAAT